CTTAGATTTTTGGATTTGTAGACTCATATTTACTTAGAATTTTGGAAGTTTTAACTATTATTTCTTCAAATATTATTTCTTCCTCTTCCTCTTCTTCTAGGACTTCCAAAATGCCTATGTTGATCCACTTGATGATGTCTCATAAGTCCCTTAGACTCTGTTCACTTTTCTTTATTCTTTTTGCTCCCTAGACTTGATCATTTTAAATGACTTGTCTCAAGTTAACTTATTTTTTCTTCTGCCCATCTGAGTCACCTACTGAACCCCTCTAGTGATTTTTCAATTCAGTGATTTTATTTTTTCAGCTCCAGATTTTCTGTTTGGTTCTTCATAATTTATTTCCCTTTGTTATTGTCCTTGTTTTGTTCATTTATCATTTACTGATTTCTTTTAGTTTTCTTTTTGTTCCTGATCTTTTAGTTCCCTTTAGTCTGTTTTTCTTTTAGCTCTTTGAGCATATATAAAACAGTCATCTTAATGGCTTTATCTTGTAAGTAAGTCAGAAGCCTGTGTTTCTGTAGGGATGGTTTCTGGAGATTTCTTTGTTGTTGTTTTGTTTTGTTTTGTTTTTGAATGAAACCCACTTTCCTGTTCATTTGTATTCTTTGTGATCTTTTGTGGAAAACTGGGCATTTGAAATAACAGATACCTTTCCCAGTCTCTGAAGATAAGCTCCATTCATAGGGAAACCTCACTAATAAGCAGGTTATGTTCTGTGACTGGGATCAAGCCAGCATGAAGACTTGAGGCCTTTTCAGACCTTTCTTAGGTGTGTTTTTCCTGGACCATTTTATGAGTGTGTGCTTTTGATTCTTTGTTGGGGCACCTGGGTGGCTGAGTGAGTTAAGCATCTGACTCTTGATTTCTGCTCAAGTCATGATCTTAGGATTGTGAAATCGAGCCCTGCATCGGGATCCACACTCAGCAGGAAGTCTGCTTGAGATTCTCTCTATCTCCCTCTGCCCCTACTTTCTCTCTCTCTCTCTCTCAAATAGATAAATAAATATTAAAAAATAAATGTCTTATTTTGTTTAAGAGTCTCAGCCATGATGCTTCTTAGGCCATAGTTCTTCTATTATAATCTTCAAGCAGTAATCTCTTGCTCCAGTTCTATGTATATCTGTAATATCCCTATATCTTTCACAAGACATGTGTAGTACTACTTCCCATGGATTTTACTAGCCTGAGATCAGAGCTGTCACTTCTGACTGTGTGATATCTCAGTTATATGATTATATCTAGTAAATAAAAGGTCATGAAGTTTTGTTACTATGAAAACAACCTGAATTCACAAAAATTTCACCTTAATTAAAACTTAAATCATGTAAATATATAGACAGATATAATGCCTTAAGCCCTTATGACAGCAATTTTCTTGTAATAAATCCAAGTTAGTAAGAGATTTTTGTTATGGATGTTAGAATCCATGTTTTGTTTCACTACAGCTTTGAAGGCTTTTTGTTAGATCTTAATGGTATAACTTGTGTTGCATTTGCTTGGTTCCTTGTACCTAAATGTATAGGTCTACAAAACTAAGTTTGGTAAGGAAAAGGACACATTTCATAAGAAAAAATATCTAGAATACACAAAATATTTTAATTAAATAACCATCTTATAACCTCTTACTATGCCAACATTTCCCTGGCTTTACTTTATGAACACCTGACATTGTGGAATTGTACATTAATACCTGAAAGAGAAAGGAGTTGGGCTCTATTTTAGGACAACAGACTGTTCACTATAAAAATAACCTAACAATTTCTTAAAGTGTCAATACTATTTTAAATAGACATTTACACACACAACTAGAAAAACATAAACTCAGTTCATATTTTTTGATAAAATTCATAGTGCAAACTACAAAATTAAATATATACAAACATCCTAATAATTAAATGTTTAACCTTATTGACTGACATAATTACATTTCCAAATATACTGATTTTTTTAAAAATTCAGATACAGTTAAAAAATTTAATGGAGAGGCACCTGGGTGCCTCAGTCAATTGAACATCTGCCTTCAGCTCAGGTGATGCTCCTGGAGTCCTGGGGTAGAGTCCCTCATCAGGCTCCCTGCTCAGCAGAGAACCTGCTTCTCCCCCTGCCCCTCACACCACTTGTGCTCTCTCTCAAATAAATAAATAAATCTTTAAAAAATTTAAGGGAAAAAAGCACTTCACATGTACTAAAAAATATATAGCATACTAGTTAAAAGTATTTTGTTTGAAGACACACAAATCTAAGTTCAAATCCCAATTTCACTATTTACAAGTTAGGTGACCTTGATCCAGTTATTTTACATCCACAAACACCAGTTTCCTCATGTGAAAAAAAGGGAATAATTACAGTGTCAATCCCATAGAGTACAATATAATAAATGATAATGAACTTAGTACATTGTCTTGTACCTGTTAAGTACTCAGCAGAAGTTAGTTGATGGTTGTTTTTGTTTGTATTATTTTTGTAATGATCATTATTGTTATTACTATTATTATCCCCTTATTGGCATTTTCTTTGAAAAGACCTTGAGAAAATGGTTAATGTTAAAATATAATTTTCAAAATATTATAATTATGACTTCATACAAATATAAAATTAACATGGGCCAAGGATTTTATGATTCATTAATTAATGAGGTAACCCATAAGATGTTAAAACTGGTTCAAAAGGGTCTTTGAAGAAAAGACATATAGACAATTAGGAATACTGAAAAAAATTGTTAATAGGTGCAAAAGTAGTTAATAACCTATGGAGAGTAAAATTTAATCTTTGGTGGTCATTTCTACATGGTGGAAATTAATTCTATCTCCATTAGGCAAAATTCATTTGTACAAGAAAACAGTTTTCTACAACTTAACACCTACAGAATTGTAAAATAGTTCTATTAGTAGAAAACCAATCAAAAGTTCACATTCTATGGAATCAGATAATCCTCATTTTTATGTCTGAGACAATTTTTCTGACTGTTTTCTACAACTAAAACAATGTTGGCCTACTCAGTACTTTAAGAATCTCATTCAATTATTTAAGGTGATAATTTAAATGTTTCTAAAATCATCACATAAACAAGTTGGTTGATTCAGGGATTACTATTTCTATAATGTTGATGAGAAAACTGAGGTAAAGTAGTCAAGCAAATTATTCCTAATTTCTCTAAGTGTAGGAATAAGTCCATAGCTAATTCTCTTTACTTCAGCTCCATCTTGTTTCTACTAGAATATATATACTGTTATTCAAAGTAAGGAGAGACAGAAAAACAAAAATAAAAAGGGAGAGATATGATGTTATTTTAATTTTAAAGTGATATAGTGGCTAACTTTTTTAAAATTTTATTTTATTTTGTTACATTAGTCACCATACAGTACATCATTAGTTTTTGATGTAGTGTTCCATGATTCATTGTTTTCATATAACACCCAGTGTTCCATTCAGTACGTGTCCTCCTTAATACCCATCACCGGGCTAACCCAGTCCCCCACCCCTCTAAAACCCTCAGTTTGTTTCTCAGAGTCCAGAGTCTCTCATGGTTCGTCTCCCCTTCTGATTCCCCCCCTTCATCCTTGCCTTCCTTCTCCTAATGCCCTCCATATTATTCCTTATGTTCCACAAATAAGTGCTTTTTCTTTAATAACTTCTCCTGTTTGTCTTTACAGATAATAACCTTATTGCCAATTATTTTCTTCAAAAGATTCAATGTTACCCAAATCTCTCTTGTTAATCAAACAATAGCAAGATAATATTAATATTAGACAGATCTTTGAGCATTAATTATTATGCACATACAGGAAAGTCAAGTTTAGATGCAAATTTGTAAGGAAATCCTTCTGTGAGCCCTGGTTCACCATTCATTTATGTATGTAGTCTGTTAGTTGAGGAGAGCACCAATTAGTAATAGCAAATGTGTTGAACATTTAGCTTAGCTAAATCATACAGTTATGGATTTTCTGGTTCTGGGTTTTATTATAACAGCAGAATTGAAGATGATACACTACATGACAATCAACAATATGTATGGAACACTGAGGTTATTTTAATTCTTGCTGATTTCAGATATTATTAAAAATATTACTAGATGTGAGACCAAGTTCAAATGGAAGCTGAGATCAGATAATTTCAAATATATCTTAAGAGATGAAAACAGAAATAAAAGAGGTAATAGAAATATAAGAAAATTAGTAGAAGGTAATAAATAAAAAATTATTCTGTAAAATAAACTTTTTTCACTGGGTTTTACAAATAGGCCAATATAAAAGCAGAGAACATTTTCACGTATAATTATGTAAGTTTTTTTTCATTGCCCACCCCTTTCAGATTTTAGTATTTTTTTTTTAAGGCTTCAAATTTTAGGAAAGAATTCCTGGAGAAGGTTTTATTACTTACTGAATTCTCTTTCATTTAGCTTACAGAAAAGGTTTAGGGATAAAGAGTTAACTTCAGATTAAAATGGGAAAAATTCCTCCTGTGAAGATAAATTGGAACACTCATGGGGAAAATGATAGGATAAAACTATGGTCAGTCTAACTACAAATAATACTAAAACCAGGGTACTACATTCTACAAAACAAGGAGGCAATTATATTCAGATTTACTTGAAATGTGGGCTCTCACATGAACAAGATAAGGCATCTCACAAAAAACTTTTGACAAACAAAGAATAAGAGAAAAACAAAAGGTTTCCAACCAGCATACTAAAAGAGAGAGGGGACATTTTTCTCGTAATGATAAGATGCTAATATGTGAAATTTCCTCATAGAGAATCTAAGTACTAATCAAAGGATGCATAGTACTTTGGAAAGGAAATACATTTTTGATATGCTTTGAGTGATGTCTTATGGTTGAAAAGAATTTTGTCATGTACTTATTTTGAACATTTAATAGACTAAACTTGCTATTTATAAGATGTTTTTAATTCCTTATATTGGGTAAGTATACATTTTATTAATGTCTTATTTTTAACATTATTGGACTTCATCTTTTAATTTTCTTCCTAAACTCTTAAGGTATGATCCAAAAAATGATTCATGGTCAACTGTAGCACCTCTGAGTGTTCCTCGAGATGCTGTTGCTGTATGTCCCCTTGGAGACAAACTCTATGTGGTTGGAGGATATGATGGACATACTTATTTGAACACTGTTGAGTCATATGATGCACAGAAAGATGAATGGAAAGAGGTACTGTCATTTAAAGTATTGAAATTAGTACATTTCAGGTTTTAATAAAAGCCTTTAGAATATATGTTTGGAATTAGGGCCTACCCAGAATCTTTTAGTGAAATTTGCAGTATTTGCTTTACCTATACTATTGAATACAGTTAGTTGATCTAATTTATCATTGGCAGGATCCATCAATACTTATATGAAAGAGAACAGAACATTCTCTTGGCTTTATGGACTCATTCCTTTCATAGAAAAGTGAATCCAATTTGATAATTCAAAAGCTTTACTCAAGTGAATCCAATTCAATAATTTGGAAGACTTATCTGGCCAACTTTCTAAGTATGTATTATGACTTGAGAACCAAAGTGCAATGTCCTTATCAACAAATATCTGTGCCTTCTTATTGGTTGTTGACCAGGGAAAATTTTTTTCAGTCCCCTTTTATAGAGATTGTATAAACTACAACAGTCTTAATTCTTAATCAGTCATTCAAGGAATTTAGTGAACAATGAGAGACTGGATTAAACCCTCTCAAGAATGCTGGGTATCTAACAGAAGAAATTCTAAGGAGAGTACAAGAAAGACATCTTGGGGATGCTAAAGGCAAACTTGATGCTTTTGACATTTTTTTCTAGTGATAACACTGCATTTATTAAAAAAAATATCTAATGGTGTTCTGTTAATTAAATGGCGGCTTAATAAAAAAATAATAAAGTATGATTAACTCCTCATCATTTCCACAAACAGGCAAACATTTTTATTTTGTATTTAACTTCACCTTCCCTTATACTGACTTCATGCTGTTCTATATTCTACACAGTAAGCTGGTTACTGTTCTCAATAAATATGTATTAATATAATGACAGCTGACAATGGCTTTCTATCTCCTCCAACAATTTGATTTGTTAAGACCCTCAGAAACACTCAAATTCTGCCATGTAGGTAGCTCCTTATTTTATCAGTGTTTAGAACCAACTAGGAATGGAAGAAAAAAAAATAGCAAACAGGAGTTGTTAAGTCAAATACAATAATCAAAATGTTTCCTAAGCTTGTGGAATTTACTTTTCTGAAAATTGCAGACCAGTAGCTTAAAGGACCTAGATTCTATTCCTGGATTTTCACTGTTTCATCGTGTGACCTTGGAAAGAGTGAAAGAGAACTAACAAATACTGGAATTATAATCACTATCTGCCAAATTATTTTTGTTCATTATCTCACTTAACCCTAACAAAAACCTCGAAGGATTTCAAGCTAATAATTTTAGGTGTAATTTTTATTAGCTGTAATTTTTCAAATGAGAAAATTATCGACCAAAATCACCTGCTTCTCAGACTCAGCTCTACATCATTTAAATAATATATTCTTTCCACCACACTGGACAGTTATTTGGGCTGCAATTTCCATCTTTATACCAGGTGAAGGTTGGACCAGAATAGCTAAGGACTTGTTCAACTCCAACATGGTTTATATATATATATATTATGCTGAAGACAAAGTTCATTAAGACAGAATTTCTTTCCTTACTTTTTCTTTTTTTTCTCTGTTAGGAAGTTCCTGTCAACATTGGAAGAGCTGGTGCATGTGTTGTGGTGGTGAAGCTGCCATAAAGCTATCTTTATCAATAGGAGTGAAACTGGTCATTTCACAAAATGGATTCGGAAGAAGAGAAGAAACGTGTTATTTCCTTCAATTAGTAATCAAACATGAACATTATTGTGTCATTTTAATATGTAGTTATAATTTCATTTGTGAAGTTAAAGCAAGTTTTCAAACATGAATTACATATAGGTGTTAAATGTATGTGTTGTTGCAGCTGATAATATAAGTGGAAATCCAATAGTCTAGGTTTAGCCTCATTACTAAAATTTTTAAGGGAAATCAATAGTGACCAAGGTATGAAAGGTTGTAAAAGCATTGGTAATTTTTAAGTTAAGAATAGGAGAAGAACATTTTCTATTTCAAAACACAAAAGGTACTCTATTTTCTGAAATACAATATAAAAGAAAACATCTAAAGCTTAAAATATGAAGTCTGATTTTTCAGTAAGACATCATTCTCTTATTCAAAAATATACCAAATAGCTAAATAATACCTCATTTTAACAATAGGAAGGCTATTACTGGGTTAGGGCTAAAAAAATAACTGATTTACATAATATTTTATGCTGATCACAGTATATTAAAATTTTCACAGACTTACTCTTTTACAGTACCATCTTATAAAGCACACATACAAATTTAGTATTTTTAACGTATTGTCTTACTAAATTTGTTACCAGTAAAATATTGTAATTTCATATACAATCTATATAATAAAATAGTAAATATTTATCATATTGATAAAATGTGACCTCAGCTTTAGAGTGTCAAGGCCTCGCTTGTATAGAAAATAGTATTCTCAGACATTTCTTTGAACTCTATAAACAACTATCATTAAGTTAAAGAATTTTTCAAAAACAAAACAATTTTCAAAGAACAGGAAAATTGAGAAGATGTTCTACAATATTAACACATGGGAAGACCAAACTGTTCAATATTCATGGTTAGTTCTGTAATTATATTTTATGCAGCAATACATGTTTCTGTTAATATTATATTCATCCAGAAGAAAATGTTAAGGATATATGCACTACAAAATCTTAAAAAAAAAAAATAGCTGGCTGGGTAGTATTTTACCTTTAAATCCCTACTTCCATTTATCCCATTATAAAAATATTTAAGAGAAAATATTGAAAAAAACTTCTATATGAAAGTAACTTTTCAAGTAAACATGTGATTTTAGGATTTATGCAATGTTCTTTTTAAAAGGCTTTGTATTGTAGTATATGAAACCAACAAATAAAACCCAGAGAGATGCTTGTAATATGTACTACTACCTTTTAAGTTTTAAAAAAGAGCAACATACGTTGTACAAAAATATCTGTATTTTGACAAAATGAATTTAAATAAAATCTATTTGCTCTGGTTATAGTGTTAAGTGGTTATTATGTTATGTGCAGCTTAAATTTTGTTTTTATATTTATTGTCCCAATAGCTAAAATATTTAAACACAAAAATAAAATTTCCCTCCTTTGTTTCTTATCACTGCCACTGTCTTTAATTATAAATAGAGGTCTATAGTCATCTTCAGTTCTAAGGGTGTAGAGATGGAGACATAGAAATGCTGTAAAAAATAAATACACACACAGCTCTATTGAATTGTTAAATTCATCTTATTCAAATCCATGTAGGCGTAGTCTTATGTAACTTTTACCCCTAGAGCAAAGTCTGGCCTGTCAAGTTAAATTGGAGGATGGGTCAATGGAAAAGAAAGAACAAAGAACCTATCAGACTGATCACAACCCAGTTTGACAATGCTCCAGTCACTGCTAGATGGCACCAATAGGGAGACTGTGTCCAGAGTCATGCCTGGTCAAGTAAGCAGAGATTGAAGAGTATTTTCTTGATGGTCTATTTGGGCTTACTTCACTTAAATCAGATATTGACTAGTAATATATATAGACTAATAATATCTTTCTTTTTTTTTTTTTTAAAGATTTTATTTATTTACTTGAGAGAGAGAGAGAGAGCAGGGTCAGAGGGAGAAGCAGACTCCCCGCTGAGCAGGGAGTCCGATGTGGGACTCGATCCCGGGACTCCAGGATCATGACCTGAGCCGAAGGCAGTCGCTTAACCAACTGAGCCACCCAGGCGCCCCAATAATATCTTTCTATATATCTATATCTATATATATCTCCATATATCACCCAGGGCTACTGCTGAATAGCTGTATTTGAAAATTGTGTTTAGGCCACTATGGCTTAGCTGGATTGCCAAAGTTTAAGTAAATCTGAGCATTTAGAATGGAGATAATACAGAGGCTCAGGGCAATAAAACATAACTGTGTTTGCCTCAGTCAAACCAAGTTGGGAAAATGAGTTATATGTGTAAGCCCCTTGTTACTATATTGTAGTGGAGATGACCTATGAGGCTGGTTTAAGCTAACAAGGATAAGAAATGGAGTTATTTTATATATTCTCTCAACTAGTGGAAGGGCTGATGCATTCAGACACTGTACTCATATTGGAAAGACAATGATAGTTTTTGATTTTTCTGTAATGACTACAACCTTGCTTAGGATCTCCCACTCTGCAGCACTCAGCCTGTATGATGACTTTCCAGACAACACCATCAACTACTTTACCTGTATTTCCATAGGGCATGCAGGAAACATCTAAATTCCTTCTACACCACACAGGAGCTTAAGGAGACTAGGGCACTAAACTTGGTTCCTTCCTCTGCTTATGTCATTCTTTAACTTGACTCACATGTGGTTGCTGACCCATTTTGATATGGAGGGAACACTGAAAGAAGGTTGCTGCCTAGAGTCCCAAATAAAGACTAGAACAAAAATTCCTCTGATTTCAGATTTGCTCTTAAGCTCTCTAATAAGACTTCTAGCCTGAAATCTTGGTCCAGGAAAAGAAAGACCATAAAACATATGTTTCCTTACCTGTGATCATTCTGTCCTTTTTCTCTTACCACAGTCATCTAAGGCAGAGGGAGAAATTTTTCAAGTTACTTTTCCTCTTTGCAATGGACTTCTTTTACATAATATTCCTCTTCCTGGATACAGTAAGCCCCAACCTGAATGATGGAAAGAATATGTTCTCTCTTGTCTGTGGAAGATACCACATGAACTTCCTATTACACCAACCTGGCTTTCTATATGTCAAAGGAAACTTTTAAAAAGTTTTTATATTTTTTTCCCTCTTTTGACAATACTCATTTTTCAAGATTGTTGCCTGCTACAGATTAGGGGAAAATCCTATTTTACATGCTAAAAGTTTAATATTGACATCTTTTTTTTTTTTGCATTCCTGTTACAATTCTAACACACACATATGCACAGAACATAAACAATGAAGGAAGTGGGCATATCTAACAAAATATGGAGACTCTCATACATGAGTAAATGTTAAAAGGTAAAAGCACATTACTATCTTCAAAATTAGTATCCCAGTGTCATATTTATTAAAAACCTGTATCTTAGACTATAATGATGTATATATATCTCAAATCACCCCAGTGCCTGCCTACTCTGGTGGCCTCAGGCAGCTCACACAGCCCCAGGCAACTTTTACAGGAGGACTGCTGTGGGATCCCACAAACTAAGGTCCTGCTCACCTCCTTACTTGCAAATTCCAGCAACCCCAGGAGGATGCCCTGCCACCAGGCTCCCTGAGGGCTCCCAGGAACACAGGCCCCCAACTCACCCTAGTGCCTACTGGCTCTGGCAGCCCCAAATGCTGACCTTGGCACAAAGTTCTTGGTGAACATATATATATATATTATATATATATAATATATATATATATATATATAAAGTTAGGGCTAAGTTTATGAAATCTTTACCAAATCCAGGTCTATATAATTTAGATTATATTCCAAGTGGTGGAGAACAGGATTTGGTTGCCTCTCTTTTAATATGGACAGCTGAATTTGCCAAGTTAACATTTCATCTAAAGTCATGGAGACCCTCATACAAACATCCCAGAGCCATATGCTAAATTTAGTATCTGAGTGATTAAATAATCTTATCTGGATCATAACTAATTAAACCTTACCGGATTTGGAATACATAGAGGTTCTGGCCATCAGAGAACAGCTAGTCTTATTTTAAAATATGTCTAAAAAGACAAAATCAGAAAGAGATCTTTGAGAAAAGTGGTATCAGCAAAATGGTGGCATAGGAATTTCTATGGCTTGTCTGTCCCCCCACCCCCAGCATCAATTTGAACAACTATCCATCCATGAAAATATCTTCACAAGAGCAAAGATTCCAGTGATCATAGCACCTGGGTAAAGCCCAGAAATAACAAAGGACGTATTGAAGTGGGTATGAAAGATAGATTCACATTACCTTATGAGCGCTCCCCCAAGCCCAGGAGTTCCAGCATTGAGAGAGACAACTTCCCCATGGGACAAGGAGAATGGAGTGAGCATCCAATTTTACCACAAATCCAAGAGTGGACCCACCCCAGCACCAGGCCAACTCCTACAGCTCTCAGTTGCTCCCCACAGGCTCTTGCAAACACAGGCCACCCATTACCCTCACACTTTTTGGCTCCAGCTTCTGCAGGCAGTTCCAGCAGCTCCGAATGGTGTCTTTGGCACCAGGGTCCCAGGGGGCTCCAGTGAACACAGTCCCAACTTACCTCAGTGGCTGCCTACTCTGGTGGCCTCAGGCAGCTCACACAGCCCCAGGCAACTTTCATAGGAGGACTGCTGTGGGATCCCACAAACTGAGTTCCTGCTCACCTCCTTACTTGCTAATTCCAGCAACCCCAGGAGGATCCCTTGGCACAGGCTCCCTGAGGGCTCCTAGGAACACAGGCCCGCATCGCACCTTAGTGCCTACTGGCTCTGGCAGCCCCAAATGCTGTCCTTGGCACAAAGTTCTTGGTGAGTTCCCATGAACCCAGTCCCAGGATCACTTCAGCATCTGCTTATTCCAGTGTCCCAAAGCAATTCCTATGACAAGGCTTCCAGTAGGCTACCACAAGTCCAGGTCTCTGGCTCACCCTGGTTCCTGTCTACAGCAGCCACAAGTATCTCCCATGACTCCAGGTAGCTTATACTGCAGGACTTTCAATAGGCTCTTGGTAACCCAGGCTCCTGTTGCACCCAGGTCTCTGACAGCTCTGGTGGACTTTGGTAGCTCCTGTGACACCCAGGTCCCAGTGGGCTTCCAGGGACCCAGATCCCCAGCTCACCCCAGTACCTGCCAGCTCTGGTGAATTCAAGAAGCTCCTGATACACCAGGTTGTCTCAATGGCACTTGGATCCCAGCAGGACCCCACAAATCTAGGCCCCCAGATCATCCTGGCACCTGCTGACACCAGTGGCCCCATGTAACTCCCATGGACCCATGTGGTTTTTATAGCACCAGGCTTCCAGCAGGCTCCCATGAAGCCAAGCCCTCATCTCAC